GTGACTATGCCCCCTTTGTCCTCTATCATATATATGAATATACATGCTATACATGCAAATATGTATATAAAAATACTCACAGCCTAACCTATGTGGGTATCCTCCTATATGCCCTCCTTCCCCTGTTCAGCATACGTACCTGCCTATGTATCTGCTTGTAAGTTATCATTTGTTTTTACTATTGTTGTAGGGTTGTATAAAAAACAAAAAACCCGTTGCCATCAAGTTAATTGCAACTGATAGCAACCCTACAGGACACAGTAGAACTGCCCCACAAGGTTTCCAAGGAGCAGCTGGTGGATTTGAACTGCCGACCTTTTGGTTAGCAGCTAAGCGCCACCAGTAGGGTTGTATATGCTGTAGTCTTTGCTGTTGTTGCCTTTTTTTCCTTGTGTTCCTCTAAGTGTCTTCTTTGCCTTGGTCATGTTGTGCTGACTTCTGCTAATTGTATATTGTCTTTCCCTTCACCAAAGTTAACACTTGTCTACTATCTAGTTAGTGATTTCCCCTCCCTACCTCTCCTCTCCCTTGTAACCATCAAAGATTACTTCTTTCTGTGTGTAAACCTTTTCTTGAGTTTTTATAATAGTGGTCTCATACAGTATTTGCCCTTTTGTGTTTGACTTATTTCACTCAGTATAATGTCCTCCAGATTCATCCATCTTGTGAAATGTTTCACAGATTCATCATTGTTCTTTCTTGTTGAGTAGTATTTGATACTACGTGTGTACATACCATAATTTGTTTATCCATTCATCTGTTGATGGGCTTATATATAATAAATTCGAAGAACCACTGCTCTACTAGTGTTCTCAGAATTGGTCCCTAACCAGCAGCATTATCATCGCCTGGGAACTTGTTAGAAATGCACATTCTCAGCGGGGGTTCGAACCAGAATGAACTTGTTTGAAGCCTTGCTCTGGAGTCAGGCACTGCAGAGCTGATACAGCAGCCCAAAGGTGCATCAAGGATTCAGACTCTTCCAACTTTTCTGTACCACCATCCTCATCATGTTGGCTTCTCAGCCTCAAGCTTGTGGACTCATTGTTGCAAGATAGCTGCTGAAGCTCCAGGCATCATGTTTATGTCCAAACAGGAAAAGGGGGAAAGAGCAGTGCCTTGTAACAGGAAAGCAGAAACTCCTTAGCATTTCCACTTAGATCTAATTAGCTAGGATGTTGTCAGGTGCCCACTTCTACCTCTCAGGAAGCTGCAAAGAGACTAGTTGGCTTTTCCAGCCTTTATGATGGAGGTAGGTAAGGGAGAAGGGTATTGGGACTGTCTGCTGGTTAGCCACGTGTCCACTGAACAGTGCTTTATAGTTTACAAAACAGCTATCACTGCCATCTTCTAGGAGCTGCAACTGAGGCTCAGAGAGAGTAACTGACTGGCCTAAGAACACACATTGAGATAGTGATGCCAGCAGAACTAGAGCCAAGTCTAGGCTCTAAGATCCAGTACTCCTACTCCACACTGCCTCCATTTCCCTACGCAGTCTCTGGCTTTGCACTAACTCTGCCCAGATAGTCATTGCACACCCTGGGTCAAAAGATGCTGAGGCTGCCACTGAGGTCTCTGCAGTGAGAATAACCCCGGCCTAGAAACAGGGGCAGCAGGTGTCCATGGATGGAGAAGCAGTCACAGCCACTGTCTGTTGGGCCCTCAGGGTCCAGGGCAGCACTTTCCCCATTACAAGCCCAGCAGGGACACCTAGCCTATCAGGGGTTGGTAGACAGGAAGCGCTGGGGTCCTAGGGCCCTGTCCCACAGACGACAAAGAGGGAAGGTGACAAAGGACAGTGGTGAGACAGAGAGGAAGGTATGAAGAGGAGGAGGTGGTAGAAAGATGGGGATGGGGGAGGCATAGAGAATATGAGGCAGCCATGGTGCTGAGGCAGCAGGAGGCGAAGGGGGCATCCAGTCCCTGGGCGGGCAGCGGGTCAGGCCTAATGTTGGCACCCAGCTCCACCACCCTGACTGCCAAGTACATGAGGATGATTGATTCCATGCTGGAGAGAAGAACAGGGGCTGAAGGAACTCCACGAGAAGACCCTTCACTCTGCCTGGGGGGGTCAGAGAAGGCTTCTCAGAGGTGGTGACTCTAAACTGGGTCAGGCACCTGCTTAGCCAGTGTTATGGGTTGAATTGTGTCCCCCGAAAAGATCCGTTGAAGTCCTAACCCCCCAGTGCCTGTGAATGTGACCTTGTTTGGAAGCAGCGTCTTTGAAGATGTTATCAATTAAGTTAACATGAGGTCATACCGGAGTGGGGTGGGTCTTAATCCAATGAATGGTGACATAGGGAGACAGAGAGAAGAGGGCCACGTGAAGATGGAGGCAGAAATTGGAATGATGCATCTACAAGGCATGGAATGTTAAGAATTGCCGGCCGTCGCCAGATGCTAGGAAAGAGGCATGGAACAGATTCTCCCTTAGATCCTCAGAAGGAATCAACACCGCCAACACCCTGGTTTCAGACTTTTAGCCTCCGGAACTGAGGCAACAAATGTGTTGTTTTATTCAAGGCTCTTCACAGCTTGGCCCTGCCTCCTTCCCCGCCAGCCCTGCCCCAGCCCAGACCCTGGCCCATCCTCATGCTGAGTACGTGCTTGCTGAGTGAATACTTTGAAAACTATAGAGCAACGGGGATACAAAAGCAGGACAAAACTGCCCACTTTTCCAAATGTATAAAAAAGGTTATCAGTTTAGGACAGTGAAACTATGCTACAGGATACTGTAAGGGCAAACATAGACATCGTGCATTTGTCAAAACCCACAGGACTGTACAACACAGAGCAAACCCTAATATAAACTACGCACTTTAGTTAATAATTGGGGCCCTGGTGGTGTAATGGTAAGAACCCAGCTGCTAACCAAAAGGTCAGCAGTTCAAATCCACCAGCCGCTCCTTGGAAACCCTATGGGGCAGTTTTACTCTGTCCTATAGGGTCGCTGAGTCAGAATCAACTCAGTGGCAATGAGTTTGGTGGTGGTTGTTGTTGTTTTAGTTAATAATAATGTATGAATATTGGTTCATCACACAACTGCAAAATAAGAGAAACAGTGTGCAGGGGGAGCTGTACGTGGGAACTCCCTGTACTTCCTGAACAATAACATCTTTTTTAAAAAAAGGTTATCAGGGAGCACAATGTGGAATAAGGAAAAAACGAGGTCTTGTTGTTGAGGGAAGGATGCTCAGACTTGCACCCCATGGAGAGGGATCTCCTTTAGCTGGAAGGCACCAGGGGGCAAGGACATCCGCAAGATCTGTCCTGGAGCGAGGCACCTTCTTCAGGCCCCCATGCCCTTGGCCCTGGGCCCTGGCACCAGCCTCCACCCACTCTACCCTCTACTCTACATCTTCCTGAAATACCAATCTGACCACATCACTGCTCTGCTGTACACCCCCAGGGGCTCCCCATGATCAGCTCATGGTGATCAGCTTCACTGCTTCTACCCTGTTCAAAACCCAATGGCTCCCCTTTGCCCTTAGGATGTCTGATCTTACCATGGCCCAGCTGTCCAGGTTCACACTCCTCCCTGGCATCCCTGCCACATGCACCTCTCACTGGTCCGTGAACCACCCCCAACCTCCCCACTCATGTGCTGCTCCTCCCAACCTAGCTGACTCCTACTCATTCTCCAGGATGTCTGTCCTGATCATGGCCTGTATCAGGTGCCTCCTCCGTGACCCCACAGGCCCCCGTGCTGCCTCCATCACTACACTCTCCCCCACGGTCCAGGAGCTCCTTAGAAGCGGGCCGTGTCCCTGTCCACCACAGCCCAGCACCCCACAAACCCCTATCGTGTTAATACACATTTGTTATACCCACAAGTGGAAGGCGTGAATGGTCCACAGTCGTCACAATGACCAGACCAGGGGTCCCGGGGTCCCGGCCAGGAGCCTATCCATCCCCTTCATCACTGTGCTTTTCAGGATGGGAACTGACATTATTGAGCACCCGCTGTGCCAGGCACTTTGCAGGCTGCTTCACTTGACCCTCCCAACGGCCTTAAAGTGGGTGGCATTTTCCCTGTCTGATGAATGAGGAACCCAGGCCCAGAGAGGTGGAGGACCTGCCCAGAGCCCCACAGCTCCGTGGTATAGCCGGGATCAAGGCCAGCTTGGCCAACTCCAGAGCACTCACTCTTCCCCCTGCACCCTCGGGTCCCGGTGGCACCTGGCCCAGAGTAGACACCAGTTACTACTGTGGGAGGGAGGGAAGGAGAGGCTGTGGTGAGCTCCTCTGCTGGACCCTGGAGGTGGGTCAGAGATGGGCAGGCCTTGGGGCGGCATCACCTCCTCCTCACCCCCGACCCTGGCCTCACAACCCCTTACGTGGACACTTCCCCAGCCTCCTACTGGTCCTCCTTTCTCCAGGTTCCCCTTTCCTGGTCCCTAGAGGGCTATTTCCAGAGCCCTGATCTGCCCCTCCCTCCTCTATAGCCCCCACCCCATGACCCAGAAGACAAAGCCCAGGCTCCTCTGCTTGGCCTTCGAGGTCCCTTGTGATCTAGCCCCTCACCTCTCACTCTCTATCCCCAGACCCCATACTGGCCTGGCCCCAGATGGGAGAGGCCCACCCGAGGGCCCCATGCTGAGGGTGAGGGGGCACACAGCATGGGAAGGCACATGAGCAGGCTTGTTTATTGGGCAAAGTCTTAGAGACTTGATAAGGCACAGAGTCCAGGATGGGTGGGTGCCCTGGGGGATGTGGTCAGGAATACCCGGGCCTCAGGGCTGGGCACCCATCACAGTGAATGCTCCCTGCACTCTGAGCAGCCCTCGCCTTTAGCCCCTCCCCCGGGGAGCCTGAGAACAAGGGCCCTTTTCCCCTAAAGGGTGAGTGTAGGTGGCCAGGGGGTTAGGGGAAGAAGCAGCTCTATGGGTCTGGGGTAGCAGGAGGGTGGGTTCAGGCATGAGCCTGGTCCTCCTCACATGGAAGGCACAAAGAATGGAGGGGCCCAGCTCAGGGGCAAGTCCTGGAAGTGCAGGCGGGGGGAGGAGAGGGCTAGCTGTCACTGAGACCTCAGGCACCAGGTGGGTGGGCTGCAGGGGGGCTGCCTCAGCTGAAGTCTCGGCTGGGCAGGAGGAGGGGGGCGACCAGAGTCCACAGGTAGAGGAGTAGCCCCGCCCAGCTGGCACAGATCTTCACCCACACCGCGGTCCATGTGCTGATCATCTTTTGGGTCTCGCTGGGTCTGGAACACACCATCATCCCCGTGAGCCTGCCTTCAATCTTGTGACCTCAGTCCTGGCCCCTGACCTTATGACCACAGTTGTGACCCTTGATTTCAATTCTGCCTCTTACCCTGTAGCCCTGGTGGTGCAGTGGTTAAGTGCTTGGCTGCTAACTAAAAGGTTGGCGGTTCGAACCCACCCAGTAGCTCAGTGGGAGAAAAGACCTGGTGATCTGCCTCCATGAAGATTACAGTTTAGGAAACCCTTTGGGGAAGTTCTACTCTGTCCTGTAGGGTCGCTAGGAGTTGAAATCGATTCAACGGCACCCAGCAGCCCTGTAGCCCTGACATTTTTGTCCTCAACCTTGGCATTTGGCCTTGTGACCTTGAACATAGCTCTTGACCTTGTATCACAAAATTGATTCCTGACCTCAGTTCTAACCTTGACCTCAGTCCTAGATTGTGACTTTATGACAGTCCTCGCCCTTAACCTTATAGCCCATCCTAGCCCCTGAAATTATGACCTGACACCTGACCCTAACCTTGTGATCCCAATTCTGTGACCTCAGTCCCTGGAACTCCTGATCTTAGTCCTGACCTGTAACTGATTTTTCACCCTCATGTTACCCTAGTCCTGACCCCTAATCTTATGACTCCATTTCTGATACCACCGACCACAATTCTGACCCTTGACCCTGTGAACCTAGTCCTGGCCTGGCTATCTTGATTTTAACCCCTTGATTTTGACATTTCAATCCAGGCTTTATGGCCTCCTAACCTCAATTTTAACCAAATTCATGATTTTATATAACCCCATTCCCAGCCCCAACCTTGACCTCATGACTTCTATTTTTGATCCTGTTACTTTGATCCTAACCTCCACACCCTAATTCCAACCTTCTTCCAACCCAAATCTGACCCCATAACCCCAATCACCATCCCTGATCCCAAAAACCCTGTCTGCCCTGCACAGGCCCAGCTCCATTTCCTGTGACCCCACCTTTCAGTAACTTAGTGAAGGGCCAGGAGATGAGCAGATGAGGCACCAGCAGGAAAACCGGGACAGGGGTGGGACAGGCTTTATGGAGGGTCCTAGAGAGACACCCCACCCTCAAGCCTTGTTCAGGCATCAGGAAAAACCCAGTGATGGGCAGAGGAGTGGAAGTGTGTGGCACACACACCTCGGGCACCCCAGGTTCACCTGTGCCCGACCAGGTGCACACACCTGTACCAGTTAGTGAGCGTCATCATGATGTGCAGGGAGGCGAGGACCAGACAGAAGTGGAAGAAGGAGTAGCTGTAGGTGACACGATCCTGCTCATTGTCGAAGGCCCGACCCTCGCGGGCCGCCACCTGCTGTTGCTGGGTGGCCTCCAGTATGGGCGGGCGCTCCTCTGTCTGCATCAGGCTGTTCACCTGCCGGTGATCTGAGGAGCGCAGACTGTGGGGGGCACAAGGAGGGCGGACCATCAGGGCTGCTGCTGCCCAAGGTGGGTAGGCAGGCAGTGGCAAGGGGCCTCATGAACCACAGCATTGGTTATGTAACAACACTGAGTGTGGATGAGCCAAGAGCCTCAGGGGCTGGTGGCCTGGTGGTTAGGAGTTAACTGGGCCAGGAATTAACTGCTTTGACTCTCAACTCTCCCCTATCCCTGTGTGACCTTGGGCAAGACACTTAACATCTCTCAACCTCTAACTTCTCATCTATAAAAATCAGGGATAATGGTATTTCCCTTTTAGGGTTGTTGGGAGGATTAAATGGAATAATTCATGTAAAGTCCCCAGCACTATGCCTGGCACAGAGTATAAACCAAATAAACAGTCACTATTACACCCACTCCTCACTTATCAACATGGTTAGGTTCCAAAGGCCAGGTCATTATGCAAAAATGGAGGATGACCACATTGGATCACAAAATGGAGGATAACTACATCATTACATAACTGCCAAACCACTGAAAATCATGGCCCAGGCAAGTTGACACATAACCTTCACCATCACAGCCAGCATTACTCTTGCCTCTCACCTCAGCAGTCATTACTGCCAGACGTGTCATTAGTGCGCAAAACAGTCAGACAGTAGATTTTTTACTATCGTTGCAAATGCGAAATGTCAGATAACGAGATAGTCGAAAAGTGAGGAGGAGATGTATTACGACTGTTGATTTGCCAATTCAATAAATATTTACTGCGTACCTACTATCAGGCACCATACCAGGTACTCATTAATTAGTAATGTTTTTATAATTAATAATGCTCATTTGCTATTAATTTTAAGCTTTCCTCTTGATCTTTTACCAATTACCTCCTCCTCCATATTTATATGAAAAATGATAACAACAATAATGATGATTGTATGTCATTGTTTTTCTATAATGACGTCTTGATGTTTTTAACAGTATTTAATAGTGAGACATATATACAATTCTGAAAAAACAACCTGTATGTCAAAAATAAAGGAAAAAGGAGGAGGCTTGGGATTCCAACCCCACCCCATCAAGTGGACAAATCACCCCTTGCTGACTTCAGCTGCCCCCTCTGCTGAGTGGTCAGAACCATCCTTCAATGCAGTCACCAAATATCTGCTGATAACTACTGCATGTGAGCCCACATCTACACCATCCAGAGCTGGCAGGGGAAGAGCCATCAGTGAACCCTGCCCTGATAGAGTTGCTTATGTTTCTCTGCCTCCTGTATTTTAAGAACTGTGCTAAAAACAAAAGTACTGCTGAGCAGCATAGCTAGAGTGCCTGGGAGGGGATGGGGAGGGATAGTGAGGCAGAGATTAGGACAAGTATGCTCAGGCTCCACGGTCACTGTGTGCTCATGGCCTCAGATATAGCAGTTCATGGCTGCTCCTCCCTGAGTCTTACTTTCCTCGTCTGTGAAATGGAGCTAAGAAAGGTCTTTCCAGGGTGAAAAAAGAATCAAATGAGGTGACAAAGAAGAGAGATGGTTATGAACTGTACAGACTTGACTCGGAGAAAATCATTTGAAAAAGGCTAATACAAAACAAAACGTGAAACAGCTTCAAAATGTTCTAGACCAGGAGTCCAGAGGCAGATGTGCTGCTCTTGGGAAAACAGGCACTGCCCAGGATGGATGACTGAGGAGAGCACAGGTGGAGGACAAAGGTTCCACAGGAGAGTAAAGGGTCGACTAAGAAAGTGGCACTTGGGGAAATGTGGAGCCAAACTACAAGTCTGCCAGACTCAGTGTAAATAATTATACTTAATATTATGATCTAGTGACTCTTAAAAATCAGGCACTCACACCATCCAGTTGTAGAAATGTTCACAGTGACTTGAAATAATAGCAAACACTTATATAGCACCTACTACCTAAAATAATAGCTAACACTTACATAGCACCTACTACTGGAAATAATAGTAAACATATATATATAGCACCTACTACTTACCAGGTTCCTTTTGAAGTGCTTTGTACATATTAACTCATCTGTAACCCTCCAACAACCCAATGAGGTAGTTACTATTTTTATCCTCATTTTATAGATAGGAAAACTGAGGCACAGAGAGATGAGGTGATTTGCCCAAGATCTCATACCTAGTAAGTAGCAGTGCCAAGTTCAAACCCAGGCAGCCTGGCTCAAGTCCTCACTGACAAGCACTCACTAAGATATCCCTTTAAGAACAAATGGCTGTGTGATCTTAAGTACGAGGCTGTCATCTCTCAGGTGAGACGGTGCTGTCACAGCTACCCTCAGCAGTGGAGGTTACTTGTCCTTCTTTTACTGGGGAGCAACTGAAGCTCAGAGAGGTTAAGCCACTCGCCCAGGTCACACAGTAGTGACCTTTCACAGCCAGGCTCTTTCCCTGATCCCACAGCTGCCTGTACCTGAATCTGAGCTGGGAACACACAGCCTGGACCCTGGGCCAGGAGGCAGAGGCCTGCATTCCAGCCTCACCTCTGCTGCCCACTCTCAGTGGGCTCTCTGAGGGTCTCGGTTTCCCACTAGCACAATGTGCAGGATGGACATGCTGCTGGCTGAGGACACCTTCCAACTTGGCATACAGGCTCCTACCTCCTCCCCTCCCTTCTGGTTCTGGACCCCCAATCATAATCTCCCTCCCAGAGAGTAGGCCCCCACCATACCTGATGAAGAGGGTACACAGGATGAAAATGACGAGCCCCACGATGCTTGGTGCGTCCCACCACCGGGTCACGTAACCCTCGGGGCCTGCCAGGACTGTCTCGTTGCTGAAATCGGTCAGCAGGTGAGGGTTGCATTTTTGGTCTAGGGATGGGAGCACAGTCACCCTCAGCCCGTGCAGGCCGGGTCTAAGTAGCCAGGTAGCCCTGAGGATGGGCAGAAAGCTGACCCAAATGGACAGACAGACAGACAATTGACCAGCCTGTCCCAGCAACAGCCAGCACTTATAAAACGACAGAGAGAGAGCTCCAGGAACATATGGGGTCCCCAACTCCCTAAAGGATTGAATTTTAGAATGGGCTGAAGCTGGGTGTCTCTGTCACCTGTGAGGGCCCCCAGCTCCTCCCTGACAGTTCACTACTGCCCCAGGAACAAGGCCAGGCCTCCTTGAGCCCTGGCCTGCACTCACCTGGGACATTGGACAGGGCCAACCAGGTGACAAACATGGTGTAGAGTGTGATGACCGAGGCCTGCAGCAGACCCGAGTTGGGCTGGGCATCCTAGCAAGGAGTGAGTTACTGGGTAAGACCCCTGCCAGGCCCAGGGACACCCCACCCCCACCCAGCCCACTCACTCCCAACGGGGGGGCCTCCGAAACTCTCACCATCTAGAGCCACCTGCCTACTCCTCTGGAAAACACACTAACCAGGCCATCCAATACCCACCTTGCCCACCCAAAGGCAGAGTTCTAATTATTCTTCTTTCTTCTAATACCCCTCAAATTACCCCTACTTCCCCCCCTGCTGAAGACCCTTCAAGGGCAGAGTCTCATTACACTCTGAAGAAAAGCCTCCCTGGTTCCTCCCTGCTTTCATGTCCACCTGATCCACTGCCACGCTCCTCCCTGCTGTCTTCATTCCAGCCACAGTGGCCTCCTATCTCCTTAGAATCGTCTAAACCCATTCCCACCTCAGGGCCTTTGCACTTGCTGTGCCCTCTTCCTGACATGGTTCTCTGTGTCTCCAGTCAGAGAGTCCCTCTCTAGCATTCAGGCCTCTGCTCAAACAGGATGCCCAATGAGGCCCGGCCCAAAAGCCCTGACTACAGCAGCCCCCATCCCTGCCACCCCATCAACCCTTAGCCCACACCCTTTTATTTTCCATACAGCATTTATTATCCAAAATTGCCTTATTTGTCCTACTCTCTTACTGCTTACCCACTCCTGCCCCTAGCCACACACACACTTAAGAATATAAATCTAAACTCTGTGATTAAGAATACAGGCTCTAGAGCCAGCCTGCTGGGTTCAAATCCCGGCTGCCCTCTTTACTAGCCGAGTGACCTCCAGCAAGTCTCTTTACTTCTCTAAGCCTCTATTTCCTCATCTGTAAAGTGGGGACTAAATGACATGATAGATGCCACTAATTGTTGGCTATTATTATTATTTCTCCTTATCTTCCTCACAGCTGTATCTCCAACATCTAGAAGAGAGTCTGGTACACAGTAGGTGCTCAAGAAGTATTTGCTGAATGAACACAAATTTCTGTGTGACCCGAGACAGGGGCATTACCCTCTCTGGGCTTCAGTTTTCCCACTGGGAAATGCACCAGAAGGGCGGTCTCCAACCTTTCTACTCAGAGGCTCCAAAGACTCCCTAAGCTATCTTGGAAACCTCCAGTGGGCTGAGATTCCAAACTCTCAAGTGCCACTGGAAGAGAAGGTAACTTCAGGAGCCTCCACCCATTATCCCAGGTCTGGGACCAGGAACCATGGAACTGCACCTTCCACACCACTACTCAAGTCACTCAGTGACTCTCCCTAATGTTGTTCTGATTCCCATAAAAACAATGACAACAACTATAATGGTAACAATAGCTAATGTCTGATTGATATCTATATGCTAAGCACTGTTCTAGGTGCTTCACAAATACGATCTCAATTCTGAGAATAACTCCAGATAGTACATATTATCCCCATTTTATATTTGAGAAGAGAGAGGCACAGAGAGGTTAAGACACTTTCCCAAAGATACCCAGCATATAGATGTGACAGCCCAGACTCTAACCCAGGAAGGCTGCCTTGGGAGCCCCCCCTCTGAACTCAAGCCTCCATGACTGAGAACCCCTACCTAGGACTCCAAGGTTCCTAGAGGGGGTCCCACACTGGGTGAGGACAGGCAGGCTCACCTGGACCTTGGGCAGGACAGCGATGATGGAGACACAGACACAGAAGCAGAGGTTGAGGCTAATGAAGACTTTGCCCTCGTGGCAGGCGCCGGGCTGGGTGTAGTAGATGAAAAGCAGTGTCACGGCCGCAATGGACAGCGTGTAGAAAAGGAGGGTGAAGAAGAAGAGGCCTGGGTGGGAGGGGCGGTGAGCAGTGGGTTGGAGGCAGGAGGCACAGGGATCCCTGCTCCCTCACGGGGGCTCATCGAGCAATCCTACCCCCCTCTCCAGGCCTCAGTTTCCTCACCTGAGGAATGACATACACGTTTTCTAACTTTCAGTCATTCACCAACACCTCTGTGATTTTTGTCCCATCTACGTAACTCCTGAACTAAAATGATTCACTTGCTATAAACAAGGCATCCATAAAAATAAATACAACGAACACAAGAGTCTTATCAAAATGGAACTAGATGAAAGGCAAGAGCCCTGGTGGCACAAGAGTTAAGTGCTCGGCTGCTAACTGAAAGGTTGGCAGTTCAAACCCACCCAGCGGCTCCACAGGAGAAAGACTTGGCGATCTGCTCCCATAAAGATTTCAGCCTAGAAAACCCTATGGGGCAGTTCTACTCTGTCACGTGGGGTTGCTATGAATCCAAATGGACTCGACAGCACCTACCAACAAGGACGAATGGCATTCTGCTGAGCAAGTTCTGTCACTGTTGCCGTCGAGTCAATTCTGACTCATGGAGACCCCATGTGTTACAGAGTAGAACTGCTCCTTAGGGTTTTCTTGGTTGTAATCTTTATGGAAGCAGATCACCAGGCCTTTCTTCTATGGCACCGCTGGGTGGGTCTGAAGGGCCAACCTTTCAATTAGTAGCCGAGAGCAAATGATTTCTACCACCTAGAGACCTTGGGTACCACTAAAAGGGCCTTATTCACCACTATTGCAGGAACTACTAGACTAGATGACCCCCCAGGCCTCTCCAGGTCAGCTCTCCTCTGATCCTCTGGAGTCACTCCAGGACCAGCTGCCTCCTCCCCCCACCCAGCCTCTCCCCTCCATCTCCTGCCCAAAGTCAGGGGCTGCTCGAGACACCCTCCGGGCTCCCCCGCTCTGCCCCATCCCTCAGGTAGCCCCACTCAAGCCCTGAGTTCGCATCTTCCCCGTGCGGAGGCCGGGCAGGTGGCACTGACCTGCGTACCAGGCACGGGAGTCACGTTCCTCAGCCTTGCACAGCCACTGCTGGTTCCAGGAGTGCGCAAAGTCGACGAACAGCACCAGCTGGATGAGGATGAAGAGAAAGGAGCCCACGACGCCGAAGTAGAACCAGACTGGGGGCAGGAGGGGGGAGTGAGGCGAGGAGGTCCACTGTGAAGGGGAGGCAGCACCTGGGGATGGGCCTGGGGCCCCTAATGCCCCACAGGCTTCCTGGGGTAGGCACGAGCCCCCTGGTCTCCCTCTCCTACACATTTATTCATTCAGTGATCGTCTGCGCCACGAAAGCAAGCAAAGGCCCTGCCCTCAGGGAACCCTCAGCCATGCACAGATACTGTGGCAGGGTGTTCAGGGCAAGGTGGTCCCCCACCCCACCCCAAGGTACCCAAAGGCCATGTAGCCGAGCAGCAGAGGCCACTAGTGCTGTTTCTCATGGGTGGGGGGCGAGGACCCTGCTGCGGTCTGGGGGCTGTGTGCCAGGGCAGCCCCCACCAATGCTGCCCTGCCTGGAGCCCCATCTCCCTCCCCCCACGTCCACCTACTATTGGAGAAGGAGCCGTCAGGGATGTAGAAGGCACCCACGGTGATGCCCACGAGGATCAGGAACTTAAAGAACCAAAACCTGTGGTGCGGGCAGGGGGAGGAATGGAGAAGTGAGCTGGGCTGGGGGAAGGGAACCAGAGGCCAGACCAGGCCTGACCCCTAGGATCTAAGACTCCAAAGAAGATACCAGGGGAGGTGAATGGGGACCTTCTGACTGATGGGCACAGAAGGGCTATCCTGGTCCTAGAACCAACCCCAGTGTTCTAGCCCCAACTGTGGCACTAAAGTACTGTGTGGCCTTAGGTGAGTTGCTGCCCTTTCTGGGCTTTATTTTCCTCATCTGAGAAATGGGGATAACTGAATGAGTTGACCCCTGCTTGCACCCCCCTGGCTTTGGTGACTCCTGAGTCTGAGAGTAGGTTCTGGGGGTCCCTGAAGGCAGGCAGAGGAAGGGAAACCCATGGGGGAGGGTCCCCAGGTGCAGGTAGGGGTCCCTCTCTCTCACCCGTTCTGGATAGCAGCCCGGGGGTCCCGGCTGCTGCGCACACAGATCATGAGCAGGGTGAAAAGGAAGAAGAAGGCAGCCATGGCGAAGCACATGTGATAAACAGCATGGTGGCCGAGCAAGGAGCCACAGTCGATGTGGCCCTGCAGGACAACGAGGTTCTGGGCCCCCTCCTCACACACCCAGGGTAGCTGTGGAGACAAACGGAGCAGTCTGAAGCCCCCACCCCACACAGAACCCTCAAGGCTCCCTTAGTGAACCAGAGCACCACCCTGCCACGGCAGGACAGGGAGGAGGCTCCCCCATCTCCACTGCCCCCCATCTCCCTTCCCACCCCAAGCTCCCACCCACTGCCCAGCTGAAGTTTGAGGAATGAGCTCCCCCCTAGAGATAGACGGGCTAGTTATATCTTGTTACTGTTTATTTCCCTGTTTTCATCCACATTACCTCAGGAATGCACTGCATTGTCTAAACTAGGATTTCCCAGAGCATTCTCCACCCACCCCTTACATCAGACTCCCCCCAGGTGCTGGGGGAAAGTTGAGATCCCGGGGCCCCTATCCTACAGAATCAGAACTTGTAAGGTGGGGTCTGGAGTCCCTGGGTGGTCAAACAGTTAATACACTCACTGCTAACCGGAAGGTTGGTGGTTCGAGTCCACCCAGAGGCACCTTGGAAGAAAGGCCTGGTGAGCTACTTCCAAAAAATCCGCCATGGAGCACGGTTCTACTCTCACACACATAGGGTCACCGTGAGTCAGGGGCGACTTGACTGCAACTGGTTAAGGTAGAGTCTGAGAATCTGCCTTTCTAACAAACTCCCCAGGTGATTCATATACACCTTTACACACATGAAAACTGGAGAATCACTGGCTTAAATATCCCCTGGGTCTATGCCAGGCTATGACACATTGAGATGAAGGGAAGAGTTGGGAGTCCCAAACAGGGCTTGAGCATTAAACGGGGGAAGAGCAGCCCCTGACCAGTGTCTGGGGAGCCATGATGATTAATAAGATTACCCAAGGGGACCATGGTTTATAAGAAACAAGAATCCCCATGTGAGGGTCAAACCTCCTGCCCACATAATGAAACACGCCAACCTAGGATATGGAGCATCGGTGTGCCCCAACACTCCTGCCCACCTCTTCTTGATTACCTGTGACCCCCAGCCCAGGCCTTCTGGCCTGGAGCAGCTGAGCCCCTCACCAGAGGCAGGCCAGCAGGTGGCTTCCCCTCTCCACCCCACCCCTGCTCACCTTATGGAGCTGACTCTCCACGCCAGGGCTCAGCATGATGATGGACACCACCACCCCCAGGAAGAGGAAGGCCGTGAAGAGGAGGCGGCTCACGGTGGAGTTGCGGCTATCGGGACAGCAGCTGCACAGGATGCATGGGGCAGAGCCACAGAGGCAGGACGCCTGCAGGGAGGGCAGGGCACGCATGTTACTCTGCCTCCTCTCCCCATCCCGTCCCAGCACACAGCACCTGCCACCTGCTCACTGAATGTCTCTAAATCTGTCCAGGCAGCGGCACATCTCTTCTTCAGACATTTAACTCTCAAGCCCAGGTCGGGTGGGGGGAGGTAAGGAAACCACGCCTCAGAGAGGCTGGGTCACATGCAGTCACAGAGCCAGAAAGCAGCAAAACCCAGATTCAAACTCAGATCTATCTCTGGTGTTACCATGGCTTCAGAGAGAGCAAGGAGCTAGGGTGGGGTGTGTTATAATGTGTTTTACTTGGGGGAAGCAGAGTGGTTAAAAAAAAAAAAAAAAATCAGGTCAACTCTGTCGCTGATTAGCTGTGTGACCTTGTACAACTCACTCAACCTCTCTGAACCTCAGTTTCCTCACCTATAAAATGGGAATCATAAGGGTTACCTACTTCTCACAGGGCAGTTGTGAGAAACAGTTGTGAGAATTCAAAATAGGATGCTGAATTTGAAATCACATGACACTTCATATTTTACTTACGTTTGGCTGCCTCCCCTTTCTAGCAGGTAAGCTCCAGGAGGGCAGGGATTTTTGTCTGTTTTGTTCACTGTGGTATTTATCCCTGGAGGGCCTGTTACCATTTCCTCACCCTGGGGCTGTACCATTTTTGGACAGCAGGTGGCGATCTAACGCTTTCTTTCTCATGGCCCAAGCAGGTGTCAGTCCTTTCCCTCTGGCTGGCTGAAATCAGAGGCAGGGGATATCACAACATTTACAGCTGGAGACTCATGCCTCTGGGATGTGGATCCAAAGTCCAGCCTTTGAGGAAACTATTCACCTTCCCTTAAACAGCCCCAGAGCCCTGGTGAGCTTGGTTGCTAACCAAAAGGCCAGCAGTTCGAATCCACCAGCTGCTCCTCGGAAATCCTAAGGGGCAGTTCTACTGTCCTATAGGGTCGCTAAGAGTCGGAATCGACTTAACAGCAACGGGTTTGGGTTTCTGGTGGCTTTTAAACAGCCCCAACAGCCTCAATGGGGTACTTAAGAGTTTGGAGAGCAAGAGACAAAGGCCTCACTCTCTGGAGCTTCCATGGGCAGGAAAGACACTAACCAAATGATGACATGTGTCATAAGTGTTAATAAGAAAGTGTACTTGCTGCCATGAGAGTGACTAACAAGGGACCCGAGTTTAGTTTGGGGGTGGGAGGTCAGGGAAGATACCCCCCCACCCAGCAAAGAGTGACAGATAAGCAGAGAGCTAAAGAATGAGGAGGCACTTGCCAGACAAGAGGGGAGTAAAGAGTGTTCCAGAAGAGACAGCAGAGCTTGAAGAGGCTCTGGCGTGGGCAGGAGCTGCGGGCATTTGAGGAATGTGAAGAAGCTTTGTGGCCAAAGCTTCGTGAACAGGACGTTAGCAGTGACCAGCAGGTTGGACAGGCTGGCACGGGCCAGACCATGCAGGGCCTGGCAGCTGTGTACAGGACCCTGGTTTTCATCCTAACAGCATCAGGTGTCCACTCCAGAGTTTTAAGACAGGAGTGATGGGAACAGTCTTACATTTAAAAAAAATCAGCTTTGTGGAGAGTAGGCTGAAACGGCCCCCTTGCTTGTCTGAAAGCCCACAACCTTCTTTACACACTGGTCACAGGCATACAGCACAGTCTAACTTAGGATGTAGCTACCTTCCGTCTCCCCCCTACTTTTCCCCTAGACTGGAAATGCCCCAGGAGCCTCCTTCTTACCCATCTCTCCTTCACCCACAAAGCCAAGTACAGTATGGATGCTCAATGAAATGTAGGATGAAATTATTTCTCATGGTCCAAATCAAAGCCAGGCCTTCTACCTTGCAGACCTCAAGCCCTGCCTCCTACCCACGGCTACCACTGGGAGGTGAGGATATGCAAATGCCACCAGAAAAGTGCCTTATAACCACAAAGTGCATTCTGGTTATCAGACAGAGCAGGTTATCATGCTCGGTTTACAGATAAAGAAACTGAGACCAGAGAGGCTAAGAAACTTGCCCAGAGGTCACACAGCAGGTCAACAGCAGTGCTGGGGTTCAAGTAATAATAGTACCAAGGGTTACTCAGTTCCAGGCACTGTGATAAGGATTTGGATTTAAGGATAAGGATAAGGATTTAAGCCTCACTGACACTATGAAGTAAGTGCTGCTGTAGCCCCCCATTTATAAATGGGGAAACTGAGACTCAGAGGGGTGACATGACCGAGGTCGTGCAGCAAGTCAGCTGAGAAGCTGGGATTCAAACTCAGGTCTGTCTGCACCAAAGCACAGGCTCTGCCCACAGAACAATGCTACCTCCCAGCCCTCTAACTCATCGAAGGCAGTCTCATTTAATTTCAAAACTCCCCAATGATAAAAGTAATCCCGCCAAGAACAGAGAAAACCAAGGAAGGCCAACAGACACTGCTCCTGGAAAACCGGTGCCCAAGTGCTCGGGTCAAGCCCTCACTCCAGCTTGTTACCATTTCCATCTGGGACATTTGAGACACAGGCAAAGCTGGGAGCGGGCCTTTAAATTCACTGCAGTTCTTGGAGATCAAAATTCAGGTGTTCCTGGTACCTGAAACCTCAGCATATCCAAAGGTCTGGCTGGCAGCCAGAAAGACCAGGCAAGAGAGAAAAACACACACTAGCTCCCAACTGCTTCCAGCGGGGAAGCAGAACCTCCTCAGAAATGTTCATACACTTTGACACCATCACTCCACCTCTGGGGATCCCCCCTACAGGAAGCTCTTCCCACAGAAATACCAGCCCACAGGAGTAAGAACGGATATGTGTACACACGCACACACATGGAAGCTCACTGTAGCACTGTTCATAACACAGAAATAACAGGAGAAATAACTAAATGCCTATCAATATATCATGGTGCTCCTATAATAGAGAATTCTCTGCCAAAGGGAGATGTGTAGGTAACACTTAAAATAGGTGAGTTTTATTGTGTGGAAATTATACTTCAGTAAGGTTGTGGTTAGGAGTATGGCTGCTAACCAAAAGGTCAGCAGTTTGAATCCACCAGCTGCTCCTTAGAAACCGTATGGGGCAGTTCTACTCTGTCCTATAGGGTCACTGTGAGTCGGAATTGACTCCACAGGGGCAATGGGTTTGGTTTGGTTTATTGGTTAAGGTTGATTTTATAAGTACCAAAAATTAAAGATTTAAATAAAGAGGAAAACTAAAGTACACACAAAGCATTAAGTTTTGTGAGCTTATTAGAATCTCATGAAACTGCAACTAACTTAAATGTCCGACAGCTGGAGACAGTGGAATGTTGTAGATGAAAATCACTAGCCTGTGGAGCAACACGCAGTAGTGCTTATGACATAATGTGAGCAACCAAGGCAGACTAGAACCTGCTTCTGCACTGAGATTACAACCACTCTCCCTTTCTCCCCCGACAGAAAAATGCACTAGGGGTGAAGGAGGGGCGGGGAAGAAGAAGTGATGGAAAAGCACCAGAACACTCACAGTGGCTGAGTCTTAGTTGCAGCCCAGGTTCCCCGAATGGAGAACTCACAGAACTTAGGAAGCCCTGAGTCCTAGAGTCTTAATGCTGCAAGGTTCCTAGACATTCAGCCAGTCCAGCTTCTCGCCAGGGAAGAATCACCTGGAAGACAGCCAGCTAGGCGGCTCTGGACCCAGCAATGGTATGGGGTGGTAGGAACAGGCTGTCACTGTGCCACTTACACTCCCTCCTGGTTGTCCCTAGGGCCAGGGAAACAATTATTAGAACCACTCATGGGTCAATCGGTGGGAAGAGTTGAGGGCTGGGGCCACAGTTTAGTTATTTTCTTTTGTTAAAACCAACCGGCCCAGGTGAGGATGGAAGGCACACTGCAGACTTCATGAACAACCTCATAAGTGGCTGAGCCCCCCAGGACTAGATAAAACACAGGAGAGAAGGGGTCAGCCCCCAAACTACTCAATACACACTTATTTCCCAGTGCGGTGCTAAGAATACAGGTCCTCAACCTGGCTCTGCCACTAACCTGCAGTATGACCTTAGGCAAGTCCGTTCTTCCCGCAGTGGGACTCAGTTTCCTCATCTGTAAAATGGGCTTCTGGGGCAGGACAGTAAAGTGGCTCAGAGCCCAGCCTCTGCAGTCTGACAGCTCTGGGTTCCACCAGCCTCACCACTTCCTCACATGTCTCCAGCAATTTACCACTCTGGGGTGTTTACAGAGTGGCCACTGCATGCCAGCTTCTTGCTAAGCATGTTAGTGTGCTCAGTCCCACTCCATCCTCACAACATTCTGAGAAGCAGGTACCTTTGTTATCTCCACTTCACAAACAAGGAGACAGAGGGTCAGAGATACAAAGTGGCTATCCATGTTCACGCACTGAGAAGAGGCTAAGCCAGGATCCAAGCACCTTTCACACTCACATAGAAGGCTCTCCCGAAATATTTGCTGACCGCCCAACTGGCCATATACTGGCTTGCCTGATGATTCTCATGCCCTTGAGGGCCCATCTTGTCTCCCCACCCACAGCAGGACACCCCTTCAGTAGGGCTGGGGAGATAACCAAAGGGACAGCTTGGGTGAGGGCTCAGCACAGTGCCTGGCACACAGTTGGGGTTCAGTAAATGTTAGAGGCCAGCACCCCAAGGGGAGGGCACTGAAAGGCAGGGCAAGTCCCTCGCAGATACTGGATACTCACTGAGATACCTCCCAATTCTACCCTGGGCCAGCCTAGTCCTTCAGGCTCCCAGAATATGGGTGAGGGAAGGAGGTGTGGACAGAAGCCTGAACCAGGAATCAGATTTTAATCTGGACTGTGCAGTTCCCCATCCCTCACTGTGCATCCTTAGGCAAGTCAGCTAACCTCTCTGGGCCCAAGTCTCCTCATCTGTAAATTGAAGATGTGCGCAGACTGGTCAGGTGCCTTGTGTGACTCAGAGACCAGGGCTTGGCTCTTTATATCTCCAGCAGGAAGTCTCCACCACCTTTCCTAGTTGATAATAACAACAGCTCCCATGTATGAGCACTTGCTCTATGCCAGGGACTATGCTGGGCACTTTACATGCCTTATTCCATTTAACCTTCCCAACTGCATTATGGGGGAGGCGCTGTTACTGTCCCCAATTTACAGATGGGGAGACAGGGGCACAGGGGATTGGCGGGTCTCCCCTCAACATCCCACACCCCAGGGGGGCCCAGCCAGGATCTGAGCCTCACCAGGCTTCACCAAATAGAAATCTGGTCAAGTCCAAGGACTTTGTGTGGGCAGGAGGATCTCAGGAACCAACTTTGATTCCTCCTTGTTCTATACACACACACACACACACACACACACACACACACACACACACTTCACAGATGGGGAAACAGAGGTCCAGAGGGGACAAGAGCCTTGTCCAGAGGCCCACTCCCAGCCTCCCTGTGCAGATCTCATTCTCAGAATGGGCTGTTCAGTAAAGCTCCAGGTCCCCAGCCCCCCGCTCCACACCCCTATCCAAACACACACACAAACCAGAGACAAAGGAAAGCAAGTCTAAGACTCAGCAGCCATCGGACTCCCCTCTCCCCTTCTGGTTCTCTTTGTGTGGAGTCAGAGGAGGAGGGGCTGCCTGAATGAGCCTCAGAAAGATTTAATGAGGGGAACAGGAAAAGGAGAGGGGGCTGGGAGGCTGGGAAAACGGAAAGGAGAGGGGGGCCTCCCAGCCGGGTCTGCCTGAAGTCCCTCCCCTTTGCTGGCTGCAGCCCCAAAACAGAGGCAGGTGCCCCCCACCCCAGACCCCTGACTCCAGGAAACCAGTTACCCCCAACACTCCAGCTCTTCCCAAATTCCTGGTCTCCCAACCCAGAGTTGGCCCAGGTTGTCGCTGCTTGACCTGCACCAATTTCACCCAAGGGTGGCACAGAAAGGCCAGATAGGGGCTCCCTCCCCGCCCCGTCTCAGCGCTGGGGCCTAGAGGGTAAGGGTCTGGGGCTGGCTGGGGAAATAAATGCCCAGGAGTTAGCGTGAGCCAGACTGAACGGGACAGAGACAGGAACGCACAAAGACAGACGGACTGACAGAGCCACAGAGACAGACAATGACAGACGGAGAGGCGCCAAACAAAGACAGTCGGACCAACAAACCGATATCAGACACATACAAATGGACAGTGAGCCAGACGGGCCAACAGACTGCCAGAGGGAGAGAGATAGAAGGACACAGGGGCAGAGAGGGACAGGGACCAGGCAGGCTAGAGTCAGAACGCCCGAGTGGGAAAGGCCAGAAAAGACGCACTCCGCCAGCACCAAGTTGGGCGAGGTGGGGCCGCGGGTAGGGGTGGGGCCCCGGAGCTCAGCCCCTCTCAGGACTCTGGGTCTCAGTCTCCTCAGTTCCTGGGAGGGCGCCCGCCGAGGGCACTCCCCGCCCCCACCCCTCCCCCGGCGCTCCCCAGCCCCTCCCCCGCAGTAACCCGAGCCCCGGACACCAGCTGCCCAGGGCGCCCGTGGGCCCAGGATGGCAGGGAAGGGGGGCAAAGGGTTACCAAGTTGGACAGGGGGCCCTTGGGGCGAGGAGGTGGGGTGCGGGCCCCGAAAGACAAGTTTGGAGAAAGGAAAAAGAAGAAACTACTTGGAAGAAGAAGAAAAGAAAAAAGTGCGGGGCCAAAAAAGGAGCCAGCGGCGCGGGTGACCGGGGGCGCCGGGGTGGGACTCACGCAGCTGAGCAGGGAGCAGGCTCCCAGGCAAGCTCCCATGGCGGCGGCGCGGCGGGAGCCCGAGCTAGGCGAGGGCCTGGGATCCCGCCGGACTCCTGGTGCCTGGCTGGCCCCGCCCCGGTCCCCTGCCCCGGCCTGGCCCCGCCCCAGCCCCGCCCCACCTGCCGAAACCGCTCGACGCTTTCCGGCGACGATCGGGGCCTTCCGGGGCTCACCTGGAGCAGGTGCCGCGGGGCGGGGCTGTGGGAAGTGGGAGCGCCCGGGACTCGGGTGACCACGAGAGCCACCCAACACTACCCGATTCAGGCCCGGGCTCGTGTCTTGGTCCAAAGCGAGGGTTTGGAATTAATAAGACCTGGGTTCGTGATGCGGGGAGGCTACGTGTGACTCACGACCCTGTCAGCTTTGGGGGACTAAGGCCAAGAAGTGGTTCCCGCTGACCCTGCAACCCTTGGCGCAGAACCTGTGCTCAATACATAGGTGTTGAATGATGAATGATTGGCTAAAGACCTTGGGGAAGTCACGTCACCTCTGAGAGCCTCAGTTTCCCCATTGTAAAATGAGGGTGTAATAGTGCCTACCTCATAGGGCTGTTACAGGGATAAGTGGGGCAACACAAAGTGGGTGCTTGACAAATGTGAGCTCCTTGTTGTCCTTGTTTCCCCTAAAACCCAAGCTTCACACTCTTTCAGCCCCATCCTCCCCTCCATCCATCCATTCTTCAAACTCTACTGACTCCCAGCAGCCGGTCTCAGGCCACAAGCTGGCCACAGCCAAGTGCGCTTGGGGGCTCAGTGCTTCCAGGATGCTCAATCCATGGCCTCCAGCTAAAGAGGTCAGAAAGGCAGGTGGGTCGCATTCCTGACAAACCCTTTCCCCATAGGTGGAGAGACCCAGAAGCGGGCTCTGTAATTACTCTTGGTTAACCCTCCAGCCCTCTCCCCACCCAACTCTAGAAGGCTAATGTGTGCCTCACAGCTGGCCCAGGGCCAACAATCCAGCCTGACTGCATCCTTGGGTGGTTCACCGGGCGCCAGGCTTAGCTATTAATGGTGCCAGGACTGTTCCACAAGCACACCCCACACTTTCCCTCCTCCACACTTTCACCCACGTGGTGCCCTCCTCCTGGAAAGCCCTCCTTCCCGCCCTGCTCACATCCCTTGTCTTCTTGGTGAAGAGAACCCCCACCCCACCCTAGCTCACTCCCAGGCCCCATTAGGAAGGAGTATCCCCCGGCTTCACTTGTGTTTCCAAAATAATGTGGACCTCCACTATGGCCTCACAAATCACTGAGGTCACCATGAAGCTCAAGCATGTACAAAACTCTTCCACCCACATGGTCCCATTTGAGCCTCACAGTCACCCTGAGAAGTACATTAATTTCCCTCACTCCAATTTACAGATGAAGAAACAGAGGCTCAAAGAAGTAAAGTGACTTGCTAGACACGAACTAAGCATGAATAAATGTTGACTACGATTACTGTGGTTTTGTGACTGTTGCTCAAGGCCACATACCTCATAAGGGGCAGAACTGGAAGCCCACAGGTCTAGCCTTGACCTCAGACCCCGAGGCCAGACCCAAACATCTCACTGCCTCTCTTGGAAAGAGACGGTGACAATACCCAGTCCCACCTCTCTATCCAGTAATATGTTCAGTCCTTCCCTAGACTGGGTCCCTTAGGCTTTGAGCCACTCAAGGACTGTCTGATTCATCCCCAGCTTTCCTACTCCTCCACCCCCTGCGCACAACACCGGGTCTGGCGTATCCCAAAAAACCAAACCCGCTGTACCACCAGACCCCCTTGTGTGGCATAAACCAAAAAAACCCACCATTGCTGTCAAACCAATTCCAACTCATAGCGACCCTATAGGACAGAGTAGAGCTACCCCATGAGGTTTCCAAGGCTACAGATCTTTAAGAAGCAGACTGCTACATCTTTCTCCCACAGAGTAGCTGGTGGGTTCAAACTGCCAACATTTTTTGTTTAGCAGCCGAGCACTTTAACCATTGCACCACTAGGGCTCCTTGTCTGGCATATACCAAAAAAAAAAACTAACCATTGCTGTCGAGTTGATTTTGACTCATACTGACCCTATAGGACAGAGTAGAACTGTCCCATAGGGTTTCCAAGAAGTGGCTGGTGAATTCAAACTGCAGACCTTTTGGATAGCAGCCGAGCTCTTAACCACTGTGCCACCAGGGCTCCTGTCTGGCATATAGTAGGCAGTAAAGGCTTGCTGAATGAATGAATGTCTGAATTTTTACCACAAGCCTGGCTTCCTCATACTGCTATGACTTCCCTCTTGCCCAGCAATCCTCTAAGTCTGAAATGCCACTATTGAATGCACTGCTCTGACTTAAGGCTTTGTCTCCTTTGGAAATGCAAAATTCCCTGGAAAAAGTAGGCTCTCTCTCAGCATGAGCCCCTTAGAACCTTTCTTAACAGCAAGGGGAGGAGGAGGAGGAAGATGATCTTAGGGACCAAACTATAGGGGGAATTGTGGGCATACGGAAGACTTGGGTGGGGGCGGTACTGAAGAGACGAATTGTGGCACTCACGGCTTAGCAAGGGTCTCAGTTGTCAAGACCAACCATCCAGGAAAATCAGAAATTTCCCAGCTTAGTCATCTTCAGTGCAAACCAAGTAGTCTGAAGTGAGCCCTTGTCACAGCCTTGCCACACTCGGGTCAGCTCCCTCTGTCACTTCTGCCCCAGGAGCCAAACTTGCCATCCCTTTCTCATGTGGTACAGTAGAAAGTGCCCAAGACCTGAGATTCCTGTTCTGTCATAGCCCCTGCCCCCTGGGCCAGCGGCTTCACCCCTCGGTACCTCCATCTTGCCCTGAAGTGGGGGTGGTGATCCTGCTTAACCTCACCGAGCCACTGTGAGTATCCAAGAAAGCATCCTAAGGAATAGGCAGTTATATGAAAGGAGGGAGGGACTGATTTGATTACATGTATACAGACAGCCCCTCTGACATTAGAATGAAAATTTTCAGAGCAGGTGACATGCTGCCACTGGCCTGGCCCTACTCCTACCCAAGATGAGCAGGACTCTCACATCTCCCTCCTCACCTACACGGAGGGGCTGACCCCCTCTGGAAATAACTCACTGTGTAGCTTTGTCCCGATGACTCATCCTCTCTCAGCCTCACGCTTCTCATCTGTGAAATGGAGATAATCATTTTTGCTCTAGCTATCTCAGGGGATCATGATGGAGATGAAATGAGGAAATAGATATAAAAGGGTTTCATTTCCTGGTCTCTTGACCAGCCCATCAGCCTTTCTCCCTCGTCTTAAACTTGCAGCTCCGAGGACCAAACTACCTCTCTCACACCCCTAAAGCCAAGATCACAGTCAGAGCCATATGACCTTGGGGAGACACTCAACCTCAGCCTCATCAAAGGGTTGGGATTCAGGATCACAACAGCTCTTCCAACGAACTCCATTAAACTATGTCCACTGAGAGAAACATGCAGGGGTCAATCAGTCCATCCCCCATGCCCATCATCCAGCCCAGACAGATGCTTGACTCTCCAAGTGCTAAAGGAAGCAGGCTTCTTCAGCCACTTACTGCAGGGACTCTCTAATCTGATCTCATTCAGCCTCAGTTTTCAAATCTGCAATATAGGCACGAATCCCTGCCCAAATCACCGGTACCCCCTAATGCCTCCCAATCCATTCTTCTCCCATCCCCACTCAGCATCCTCCCGTCCATGAGGATTTAGATGCTCTGGCTTCGAGCCTTCTGTCCCCTGGGCCTCACTCTCTGCACTGGCCTCCACTTCCTGCTCTGACCCATTTACAGAGCAGGGCTGAGGCTGTCCTTTATGAATATGCATGTGGGATAATGAGGGCTTGGGATTGGGGGACCATCTGGGGAGAGGTGTTTGTGTGGGTACCATCTACTCTGCTCTCCCCCATGCACACTCCCCAAGACTACCCACCTTCTCAAAGGGGCAAAGGCTGAAGTAACAACAAAGTAACAACGATAATATCCACTTCTACCATTTTTAAGTGCTTACAACATGCCAGGCACTAGCTAAGAGTATCTCAAGTAAGATACATTGAAGATAGGAATTCCTTCTCCTCCACTTAACAGATAAGGAAATTGATGTCCCTAAGTAACTCTCACATAAATCATATACGGAAAGTGCACAGTGACTCAGTGGCAGACTGAGGATCCAAAGCCGGGTTTTGTCTGGCTCCAGAGCTGGTACTCTTAACCTCTGCTGCCCAAATGCCCAGGGCCAAGCCAGAAGTCCTGAGCACATGGTCATGGGGCCACATCTGGACCCCATCTGACGCCTCCTCATCTCTGGCCCTCAGCAGATGAACCCATGCTGGCCTCAGGAGACCAAGGCCTTGGGAAGGACCTGGGTCCCGGAAGTAACCTCCTCTGGAGAGTATGGAGACAGGCAGATAGGTGTGTGCACACAGTGCATGTTCACGTGTGTGTAGGCACACACATGATGCATGTGTGAGCATGGACGTGTGCACTGTGTCTTGTGTGTGCATGGATGTACACATACAAGTGTATGTGACAGGTGTGTCCCTGAGGCTGCCCAGTGTCTGCATCTCTCTGCCTCTTTTGTTCCTTTTTTTCAACCAGCACCTAGAGAGGGCCAGCTGTGTGCCAAATGTGGGGGATGAGACATGAACAAGGCTGGCACGGTCCTGCCCTCCTGGAGCAGATAGTCTGTGGGCCTGGTTCCCCAGATGCAGTGACACTTCAGAAGGAATCCATTTCTTTGTGGCAAGTGGCCGTGGGGTGAGACAGAAGACTGTGGTGAAAGTGGAAAAGCTGAGGATATGTGGGGTGGGGTGGAGAGGCCCCTGACACTTGCCAGAAATGTGGTGGAGGAGGAAGCCAGGATCAGGCACGGGGTCTGTGAGACTCACAGGTCAGAGGATTCCAAAAGGTCTCTAGTGCTTCCCTCACAGACGTCAAGGGTCTGCCAAGAATGCATGGGCAGCAGGGGGGTGGGAGCGGTTGTGTGTGTGCATACAAGTGATTGCGTGTGTTGCTTGCACATGTAGTTACATGTGATATGTGTATGGAGTGTACATGTGTGAATTTAAGGACATGGGTAAATCATATGTGGTGTGTGTACATGTGGGTTATACATGTAGGTACACATGCGCATGTGTGCGTAGCAGAGCCTATTACCGTGAGGGAGAAGGAGAAGAG